GAAAAGCAGGCTGGCTCAGGCTTGCTAACACTCTGGCACTGGAGTGTCCGTCTCCGCCTCCTTAAGAAGGAGCCTCCTGATGAGCAGATTGAAGACAGGTGTTGCAGACAGCTCATGCCCCCAGGAGATCTCGTGCGCCCTCTGGTGGAGAAAGTGGACAAAACCTCCAGATCCCAACAATTACTTGATGTTTAGTTTATATTTACTTCACCAATTCTCCGTTGGGGACTTTCCTCTTGGTTTGTTGAAAGATGTGTGAAAAGATTTGCAGTTGTTTAAACTCCACATGAGCAAAAACTGAACTTCATGATTATTCCAGATATACTGTTGTGACACTGCTGGAATTTTTGAACCACCTCATATGAGCGGAGTATAAAAATTACACCAAGAGTCTAAGACTGTTCAATGTCAGGGCAATGTCAGGAGTATAAAAATTACACCAAGAGTCTTCAAAACATTGGCCCAATCAAATCACTGATTTATAACTGCTGTTTGTGCTTGGGTCAGCTTACAACTACCATCCTGATCAGCACAATACCATCTGGTAGAAGCGAACCCGCTCATATGTTAATGATTTAGCTTGTGTAGCGAAATGTCTTATGGAAGTCAAGGCTCCCATTAGGTGGACGCACATGTTCTCAGCCTCCTATTATAGAAAAAAAAAAATACTATTTCTGGGATTCTAAGACAGTTTTGAGTAATTCTGTCTTATAAAAGTTGGAAATACTAATGTGTTACTTTCTCATATTGCAGTATTAAAATAAGGCAGCTTTAGAGGATACTTCAGCAGCAGGTTCTACTGGCATCTTAAACGTATAGTGGACAATCTAAGCAGCTTCAGGTCCCAGAATTTGGTTATTTCTTAAAGACAAATCTGGAAAAAAACATCCTCTGTTCTTTTAAGGCAGACTTGGAGGAGGGCCTCTTTACAGAAGTTTGCCTTGTGCCTCAAAGTGGTTAAAATCACCAAAGAGAGGAAACACCAAGAAATCCTGCTTTCAGCATTTAACAGCAGTTGTTTAACCTTCATCATTTAACATTGTATGAGATTGTGATGATTGTTCCTGTTTTGTACTTCAATAAAATAACTTTATGTTAGATGTTGTTATTCATAATATTTGACTAAAGGGAAACTCGTTTTATTTGTGAAATAAAGAGAACA